TGTCTAAACAATTAGCACGGTAGTTAATATACCTATACGCCTTTTCATTGTTATGCGTAAAAAGTCATGTAAATGTTTGTCATTACAGATGTTTGAAGTCCGTCCCATATATGTGTTATGTGCGTTGTTTTGTTATAAAACATCATAGTTTCGTGCAGTTTTGATGTTACTACAGAATGAGTTTTTTCCAATAATATAAATCCAGCTAAACCGCCTACGATTTCCATTATAAAACACGATGCTAAAAGAAATCCAAACTAAAATACATAAAAATGTAATATATTAATAAAAAATATAGTATAAAATACTTAGGTTTTGGTGTACAATATAGACTGCAGCACGTATTAATAATAAAAAAAAAGGTAGGTACCTAACTATTGTAAATTTGTACTCACAGTGATCATCATACAGTTATTTTCCTTATATGTGCCACAGCATCCAAAAAATGATACTGTTAGAACTGCGAGACCCACAATTATCAATAGAGATGGCACAGTAAAATAGTGCTCTGTTAAAAACTGTCCATATTGGTTGTAAACGTTACGAATTGATAATCCAACAAATAAAAGTAAAATTCCACTCAGCTAAAAAATTTTAAAAAGTGTTCTTTTATATATATATCTTTTTACTTTTAACTAGGTATATACAGTTAAAATTAACTTTTTCGTTCGATTCGTAACAATTCTATAGTGTAATGACTAATGACATCGCATATATATATAGGTATCTACAATAATTTGTTTCATTCAAATAATCATACCTACCTAACACGAAATATTTCTGCTCAGTAAATTGCATTAAAATAGGAATTGTTGAGGAAGTTTTGGGAATACTAAAATACAAAATTTGGTCTAATTCTCAAATTTTTAACCCTTTCAGTATTCACATTTACAAAAAAATTAACAATAAAACAATAATCAACAAATCGTCAATAAAATAAATCCCTTTAACGTTGTTATGTTTTATTATTTTTAAGGTAATAAGTCAAATATATCTAAATTCTACATTATAATCCTCAACTGTCATCTCTTCTTCAACAGAATGCCTTATGGGGTACATCTCACTTTGAATGAAAGGGGTCGGTCATACGTTTATTAAAATATATCTATTTTAGACGGCTAACGAACACAATAACCATACCTATAGATACTATAGAGTATAGTCAGTATATATAGACTATAGTATCTACGGCCGTGTGTATAATCAGTCAATTTTTAAGATAAAATAAAGTTTATTCATCATTTTTAAAATTTGGTTTCAATGCTCATTTAAGTATTCTCAATTTATATCTTTYTCGAAAATTCCTATTGTAATCTAAAATTACGCAGATTAAATATAAAGTGGATTTTCTTTATTTAATTTACTTTTTAATTTCTTTTTATTTCATTGTTATCAGTCATCTATACATTTTCATTTTTTTTT